GAACGACTTTCGTATAGAGCAGCTGCGAAAAAGTTTGGTGTTGTGTTGTCAACGTTGACGCGCCGCCACCACAAACAAACCCAGTCCTGTGCAGCCGCCGCAGAAAACACGAAATTACTCACTACACAACATAAAGCTGAGCTTGTAAAGTATATATAGAAGCTTTCTAGTCGTGGGCTTGCACCTACCAGGTCCATGATAAAAAATTTTGTGTCGAATATTGCAGAATGGGAGCCGTCAGATAGCTAGGTCACACGCTTTCTGGACCGCAACACCACCGACCTTACCATCAAATACACCACCGGGATGGACCGCAATCGTCACGAAGCTGATAGTCATGATAGTTATCGATCATATTTCGATCTCATCTTCGGGAAACTCGATGACTACGACGTTGCGCCGCATAACATCTACAATATGGACGAGAAGGGCTTCCTACTTGGGTCCACCACAAGGTTAAAACGGGTGTTTTCCAAACAACTTTAGGACCAAAAAATGATCACCGCCGCCATCCAAGATAGTAATAGAGAGTGAATAACAGTTTTAGCATGTGTTTGTGCTGATAGAAGCGCTGTAGATCCTTGCGTTATCTATGAAGGCAAGGTCAGACTTCGCAATGGCTAGGTACGCGACCTAGAGGTCGGAAAACACCACGTTTTTTTCTCTACAAGTCCATCCAGATGGAGTAATAACGACCTAGGCTTGGCTTGGCTCAAACAGGTTTTTAATCGTCAAACGAAGGCGAAAGCCAAACGCGATTACCAGATGCTCATCCTCGACAGCCACGGTAGCCACGTCTCACCCGAATTTATCGAATATTGTTACTCCCATCGAATAATACTTTCAATATTTCCACCCCACGCCACCCATACTCTACAGCCTCTCGACGTGGTGTTGTACGGGCCGCTGTCGGCGGCGTACTCTAAAGAGCTATCAGAGTTCATACGCCGCAGCCAAGCATTGCTCCAAATGCAGAAAAGTGATTTCCTCCGCCTATTTTGGGTGGCGTATACATCTACCTTCACTAACAATAATATTTTGAGCAGTTTTGCAGCCACCGGGCTCCATCCCCGCAATCCCGAAGTCGTACTCAAACGGTTCAAAACCACCACATCACAACGAGATAACAACTTGAAAAGTAGAGAGGTGGGAGATGGAGATAGCTGGCGTACGCTGTCAAGATTATTTGACGTTGCGGTACCGGATAGGTCGACGGCTGCAGCTAAAGAGCTCCGCCAGGCTCTACATTCTCTGCAGGTCAACAACGAGCTTCTCCACGTTGAGATTGACGAACTTCGCGGTGAAATCGCCACCAAAAAACAGAGGCCGAAGCATAATAGAGTTCTTGACCTTCAACAACACCAAGAGTACCAGAGTCTGGCGGTGGTGTGGAGCCCTCGGGCGGTACGGGAAGCTCGAGCGCGTCAGGCTGTACAACACCAAGAAGAAGAGGCAGAAAAACTCCAAAAAAAAGAGAGAAAAGAGATGCGAGAAGCCGCTGCCCAGTATAAAAAACAAATAGCTACAAAGGCAAAACAGGCGCGGGAAATTGCAAAAGTTGCCCGCGAGAAGGAACGGGAGGCTAAGGCTGCACAACTTGCTGCCACGCGCGCCCAAAAAGAACAAAATCGGCTTGCTGCAACAACAAAAAAATCTCGCGATAAGCAAAGTACACCTAAACGAAAAGCTTCATCGTCGCAGAATACAAAAACAGCAAAACGTCGTCGTGTGGTGGGCTGCGAGAGTGGTGATGGAGTTGCACCGCCGCCCGCCAAGCCCTCCACCAAAACCACCACCCGCGGCCGCAATATAAAGTTACCAGCGAAATATATATAGACGGAAATATATATTACTACTTGCTCAATACTCCACTAGAAAATCTCGTGATAATAGCTTTTGTATGGGGCTCTATAGCCTCATCTTTGGTGGAGCACCAATTTTGGTGGGGTGTTGCATCTGCTGAACAGTTGCAAGCACTGATCACCTACAGTAGGTCCGATGGGAACTACTAGCAAGGCGAAAAAAAAATACGCCCAAAAGAAAGAAGAAGAAATAAAGAAAAAACCGCGTATTCGGCTTTGCCTCACCATCTGAGACAAATGCCAATACCAAGCTGCATTACATGTACGCAGTAGTACGGCCTTGGGGTTGGGTCACTGTGCATCATGTCGCAGAGACACGAGAGAAGAATAAAATAACGTGGAAGAGACCGCACCCGCACCCGCACCCGCCGCCGCCGCCGTGGCCGCCGTTGTGAGAGAGAGAGTGAGAGTAAGTGTGTGTGGTGGGGGGGGGGTCCAAAAAGTCTTGGGCGCTGTAATCTCGGCTGCAACGAGGTATCAGAGCTGGAAATGCGGTTTGGAGTAGTATCTGCGGGAGGGGCCTTCTCTTAGCCGATGGATGCGCCGGGCTGTGTGATCGGTGAGGGAAGGGAAACCGTTCGATTGGCGAAGCGACGGGAGAGATATGGGGGGAAAGGGGATGGATGGGGGGAGGGGGGTGTGTGGGCGCGGCGGAAGACGTGCAAGCCCGCGCACGCCTTGTGATGTGGCTTTTTTCCTGTGTGTGTCGTCTCTTTTTTCGTCCTAGTTACTTTTTTTTTCTCTTCTCTCTTGCTCTCTCTTTGGCCTTGCCCCCTCCATCATCCGCTGCGGCACATGCTTGCAGGCTGCTGCTCTTATCCGACGCCCTGCTGTGACTGGCTCTCCCAAGACAAATGGTCTTGGTATCAACTGTTTGGCTTGCGGGAGAGAGAGAGGGGGGAGGGCCTGAACATGCATGACACGACGTTGACGACTCGACATGTAGATAATGCGCGCATATCGAGCAACAAGAAAAAACCAAAGCTGGCCGCCCAAACATGTCGCAGCTGGTGGTAGTGGTGGTGGTGGTGGCCCACCCCCGGCCAAACGGGGCGATGTCTATGTACGCCTCACTTTCCCGCCCCGGAAGGTCCAGCTCAACGTTTAGATTTTCGGACGGGGTAACTTGGTATCTAAGGTTTGTATTCGATTAACGGAGCGGGTCGGCCGGCGGTAGGGGGAGGGGGAAGCGCGCATCCAGACAAACCCGCCCTTGCTTCCCCCCTCCCCCTTCCCCCGTAAGCATTTGCTAACCAAGCATGGGTCAGGGTTATTGGAGATTGCCGGAAGCTGCATCTCCGCCTCAACCATGTACGATCGCAACAAAAGCACAGGCAGTGCAAGCAAAGACAAAACAAGGCACGGCAACAGGTTCCTTTCTTTCTTTCTTTCTTTCTTTCTTTCTTTCTTTCTTTCTTTCTTTCTTTCGCCGCGTTAGGACCGGCAGTTCATACACACGGGATTTTATTTTAGACGCAATCTGAAACCTGCCTCCTCCTTCTCCACACTCTCTCCCAACCCCCCTTCTTTCTGCATCACGGAAATTTGCTCTCTCGAGTAATATACACATGTACATGCAAGTTTGTTTCTGTTACAAGATTAGAGTGGTTCCACCTAGAGTGTGTGAAGTGAAGTGAAGTGAAATGAATAGAAAAAAAACCCCCCCCGCACTTGGCCATGACGAGACGCACACAAACTCTCTCTCTCTTGTCATGCTGCGTGTGAACGGTATGCAGCGTATAATCCCACCACACATCCATACATGGATAGATAGTTCAAGTCGGGTTTTCCATTTGCAGCTTGGCGAAAAGAAAACAACCACAACCAACCAGCCAACCAGCCAAGCATGGTAAGCAGTAAGAAAAGTATATCGAGTTTAAAAAAAGACAACAAACGACGGGCGCTAAGAAAAAAAAACGTAATCCCATGTGATGCTGACAATCATGATGATGATGATGATGACGAAGCCATACATACATACCAATACTACGTATAGTTCCACAATGCTAGTCCTAGCTTATACGCTAAACTACGTCCTAGCACTCAAAGCACGATATCTAGGAGAACCAACCACGATTAATCAACTAACAGCACTTTCAACACCTACAGCTAAGGCGCTAGCGCGTAGTAGGGAGAAGAAGGAGGCCTTCCTTCGTTTTCTCACGCCTGGAAGAATTTTCTTACAGAGCTTAGGCTCTAATGCCAAGACTAGAGGGGCTAATAGGAATATAGGAGCTTATTAGAGCTTAAATTTAGCAAGAAACACAGACATATTAAAATAATAAAAATAACAAAAAAAGACTAGCCTTAAAGGACCTTAGAGGCACAAGCAAACGACTAATGGATAATAATCTAGAAATTGAGATGGCTAAGGAGGCCTCTACGCCTTGCCCTAACAGGCAACTAGAAGAACCGCCTAGGCCTACCCATACTAGGACAAGAAGCAATTTTTCTCCATTTATTGGAGCAGTGCCAAGATACCCTACAGTAGGGAAAACACCAAAGGCAACCTCTATTAAGGAGGCCTTAGAGATTGCTAGAAACCTAGTAATCTAAGCAGCTAACCTAGCTAAAAATAACCCTACTAGGCAAACTAGTTTACTAGACCTTGTAGAAGTCTTTAGAGACTTTATAGAGAACGGCAGAGTAAACAAGAAAAACTCTACAATTCTAGGAGACTAAATCTCCTCTCTCCTTCCTAGAAAACAGACTACTAGAGCTATCCTTTGATAGCTAAGTAGAAGATGTACAGGAGGTAAACACTAGTACGCCCTAAGGCAGCCCCGCTTCTCTAATTCTATTTTCAATATATATAAAACTACTATTTTAGTTAATTATAACAAATAGAAACATCTACTTCTCTTTTTATATAGACGACCTATAGATATTAGTATCTACAACATCTATTAAGAAAAACGTTAAATTACTAGAAAAAAAGACCTAAAAACTCTTTAACCTAGCAGAGGAGCTAGCAATTAAATTTAATAGCTTAAAGACTAAACTAGTAAATTAAACTAGATTAAAAAAGGATCAAGTTTCTCTCACACTACCCACCTAGGAGACCTTTTAACTAAAACAGCAAATTAGATAGCTAGGCATCTACTTTAATAAAGCCCTTAAGTTCAAGGACCACTACTTGATTAGAAATTAATAGGCAAACTAAGCCTTTACTTAGCTAAGCAAACTAGTAAACAGCAATAAAAGCCTATTGTAACGATGTTACAACTTCGCCAAGTATTGAGCCAATCCCAGAGCCGGATCGGAGGAAGTACCTGCCGCCCTTCATCAGCCATTCGCCCGAGGTCGGATCCGAATTCGGACCCGACTAGGATAGGTATATATTGAGACACTCCCTGTAGCTAGCTCTGTAGACTTTTGATATCCTTTCGTACAAGACCTATAGGTTTCGACTTGAATCAAGGCCTGGTT